TGCCATGCCGCAGGCAGCAGTTGAATGAGACTTCGAGGCTGAGGCTTAGGATTTCGGGCTTGCCGGGGTTCGGCCTGAAGCCTGAAGCCTACACGTATAAGCTTTGGCAAATTTAGGGGACCGGAGCTATAGTCTAAACTCCTAATACCCCCCTTAATAACACCAATATAATCCTTGTGTAATCCCCTTTAAGCAGTTTAGACTATTTTACACATCAGCAGTCATATCCAACCAGGCGAAGCTTGCCCCCAATGACTTGCCCTGGCCTAGCCCAGGCAGGTTGTTCTAAAGGTGGACAGCGTCATGGTAAATTTCAACAGTAAGTAGCAATAGCAATAACAAGACTATATTGTAACAGTAAAGAGTAATAGTACCAGTACTAGTAAACGCAGATATAAAAATGGCAACAATCACTTGTAGTATTAATATTACAAATACATACCCACGGATTCAATCTGCTTGTTCCCTAAGAGCCTCTGCCGATTGACAACAAATCTCTTGGCTGGCCTCTTGTCAGTAGCCAAGCCGTTCTGTCATTCCCTATAAGCAAGATGTAAGTCGGCCTGTCCGAGCGCACGGGTAACTCTTATAAACGCCGAAGTACTATCATCTGATGTATTACGACGAAACGATTTCCAAGAAGGAAGATGCCTTCTATTTTTACATATCCCTGTGCATCCTGTGTCTCCCAGATCAGCTTTATCACACTTCGAAAGGACCCCTACCTTGGAAACACCCAAATAACTCATTATAAAAGGACGACTACCTGTAGCCCAAAAATTTGAACTCCAGAACTACGAACGGAGGTTCCAAGATTGGGGATCCATCTTGGGGGTTCATGTCATAAGGGCTGGAGCAATTTTGATGGTGATATATGGGTGGCCTTCAGCCGGATGGAGAAAAGCCATACATACCCACAACCTTAAAATTCCAAAACCCCGAACCCTACACCTTAACCCCTACGCCCTTCGTACCGTGAATGCAGCTTCTAGCGTCGTGGGCACAAGCCGCCTTGGCGGCTTCAACCAGCTGCTCCTCAAAGTCCTGACTTTTAAGCACAACAATAAAACCAACCTAGTCGTTCAAAAGAAGGATTGGATTGAACTTTTGGGGGGTTTGTAGGGCTTTGGGTACCAGAGCGTTCGGCTCGAAGGTTTAAGGCTCGAGGAGTACTCGTCTGCCGCCCAAGGCTTTGGGTTTCGAGTTGCAGAAGAACTTGATAAGGACTCAGCGGTGCGGGGCGGCAGGCTAGAGCTCTAGAAGTTAGAGCATTATTGTAGCATAATATAGTTTAGGTGGACCCCCCCCCAGTAATAGTGACTATTATGGATAATAGGGATTATATTAGGGTCCTCTTCTATTATTCTATTATACCACTATTACAGGGTGGGGGGTCCTCCTAAAACATAGTATCTTCTAGTTTATGATAGTATAATATAGCATGATGTAATATAATATAATAAGGTTAAGGGATCAGGGCACTTCGCCATCTCTGAACTGGAGGTTCATGCCAATTCTAATCACCTCGCCCACATATTCAACGAACCCACCTCTGTAATCAAATTCGGCCAATGTCAGACCCTACGTGTTGTGAGACAGTCACTCTTGGGAAGGAGATATTTTATGTTGCCTGGCCTAGGTTATGACTCTAGCTCTCCTACTCATACTCTCCTGATCCTCCAAGTGGATCTGTGGGGGGGCCCACCCTGTCCCCCCTGCTACCGCATTCTGGATAAAGGGAAGCTTGACTGAGATTGTGAGAAGAAGAAGGGGACTGATTGGCAACCCACCTGTTAGACAAGATTTCGGATAGCTGATGCTTAAGACGTCGGACGACGGATGAACCGAGGACCTGATCAGTCTCGGCAGTCTCGATATGCGAGATGGGGACGTGTCTCTAAAATGCTGATTTCCATTTCCAGTCTTGACGTCATCTGACATCTGGCAAAGCTGGTATGCGGGCATGCGTGGGCTGAACTCGGCTCTGTGTCATGCAACCGTGCAACTTGTGTGTTAATCCAGTGGCAGAAGTGCGATCCGAGAAATGCGGCGTCGTGCGGGTCGCCTATTGTCACAGCACAACTCTAAGTAGTTGGCTTGTGGCTCAGAAACTTGACGTCTCCTACGTGGAAATTGGCATGCACGGGCTTGTTGTAGGGTGAACCTGATGAGCTAAATTTATATCTTGGGCTATGCTATGCTTAGATTAGAGCGTGTAAGTGCCCTTAAGGCTAACCCCGGTACACTACAGTGAGAGGAAGTGCAGTATCCAAGTTCTATTCTTATCTATTCTTCATCTGAAAGGTTGACAACACTGGGAATCTTGCCTGGTGAGGTAAACATTGGGGGAGTTCCCAAAATTCGGGTTCTTTTTGGGTATCCCTAAATATAAGGTGCGGTATTTTGTACATAATCAAAAGGGCCCATATTTTTTGAGAATAACTTCTCTAAGACTACATGGGAACCTTAAACGCTTGTCCCCGCTAGATGCACCTTTGAATGTCCAAGAACCTATTAGGCACAGAGCTCCTCAAATTGACTATGTAACGGAAACGCTGGTGTTATCCATAATGGCACTCGTAAGAGACTACCTCTATAGCGAAGCAAGATAAGTGTCCTTTAGATCCTAAACTCTGAGCCCTAGAGACCCAACCAGGCCTACAGAGAGTGTCAGCGGCTCCCCGTGTCCGCAGTTTCTGGGTTCTCAAGGAGGACACCCCTGATTGTGATGTCCACGTTGGATGAGCCCTGGCAATCCCTAGTAATATAGACCCCTGATTAATAAGCCCCCTCCCCTTAATAGGGACTATAATAGGGGTCCTAATATTAAGGCCCTTAAAAGGAGGTGCTTATTAATCATGGGTCTACATTACTCAAGCTGTCCTTGGGGTCACTGTCAATCCGGCATTGCGGCAGGCCATATCTGACAGTGAACCGGTCTTGTTGGGCTTGGGCGAGTTTAGATTGGCTCAATTGGTTGCTGAACCCCACGGAATCTCAAGTAAGGAGTATAACCCAGCAAAATAATACAGCCGATAGCAACCCGAAGCCTACAAAGTCCTATGTCCTGAGTTCACGGCTGGGGCTGAGTGCTGAGGACAATATGGCAAATCAAAAGCGCCAAAGTGAGGACCATACAACAGTCAAACGAATCAAGTGGTCGTCATAGGGTCCTTCTAGGCATGGTTGGGATTACCGGGGTATTCTCAAGTTAGGTTTGAAGACCCTAAGCCGAAACCAGAAGGCCACATCTGAGTAACTGCACAGGGCCGCGGAATGTGGCAAGTCTCTGCGTAGAAGCCTTGTTCTTTGCCTTCAACTGGGAATTTAATGTTTCCAAAATAAGGAAACTAACGCAAGGACCTGACTCTATTGTTCATAGGGCCACAAATATTGGTGTTGGAATACCCGAGAACCTATAAGGAATCCCCATCGATGTACTTTGGAATACTTTGGACAAAGTCCATGAGTCCGGTGGTAAAAAGCAAGCAGACCCCTGTAATGAATGCAAAAATGCCCTCCCCGCATGCGGCGTTCCGCATTGTTTTTGGAAAGGGTAGTCGACTTGGGTTTTGAGGTCTGCTGCACTGTACATGAACGTACGGATGACGAGGATACAGTCCTCCTAGCTCGTCAAACTGCAGTATCAGCAGTTGCCGCTCTTGCGCTTGCGACAAAGCCCGAAATGCAAGTTCAAGAACAATCAAACAAAGAGAGAAACAACGACCAAAGCACCCCTGACCCCGTGTCTGAGAAACGTCCCTAAGCCCTAAACCAGTAGTCCTTCCAAAGCCGCCTCCTGCTTTAAGCATAAGCCCATCAAAGCCCTTGCTGCTCTGGAGGCACAAGAGGTTCTGCCGAACGGAGGTGTTAAACAGCACGGGCTCCTGTGCGACGAGCGCCTGGGGGCTTGGGCTTTGGGGTAGGCAGACATTAGGATTCAAGGGCGTAAGGATTCGGCGACTGGGGGGCTTAGTGTGCAGGTTTCATGGCCGGAAAAAAGCAGTCGGGTACTGCAGATCTTCGTAAGGGCGTAAGGGAAATTATAAGCCGTAAACTGGTTACACTGTGGTTTCAAACAAGTCGCAGACTGCATTTTCAGTATCTGCGGCTGGTTGGAGAACGGAAGTTCAAGCTTAGCATGCGAAAGGCTTTAGAATCTATGCTTCCAGGTGTAGGGCTGAGAACGTATGATCTAGGCGCGCTTTGTCTACCGTTTCCGTTTCACGTCGTAGAGGAGTCTCTACACATTCCCAAAATTCCAGCAAAGGATGTTCTCCTTAGCTTCGAGCACTCCATTATTCTTTGGAGATGAACAAAGTCTGCTTGGGGGCCCAGAGATTCGGGCATCCCTTTTTGCATTCCCTAATCTGGATACTTTGTCTGGGTCAATGAAATGCCCCCCCCCTGAAACTTCTGAGCCGCCACGTCTCTAAGTGGTGGTTAGTAGGCCATGAAGAAGGTAATGCTGTAGGATCATATCCTTCTCTCCCTACCAACCTGCGGCAAGGTCAGGGCTCTATCAGACGTGAATTGGGTTTGCTTGTCTTGCTGCACAGATAAAGCATGTCAGGAGTACAGGCGGATACCTATTGTAATTCCGACTAGGACTCAGATTGAACTTGAACACCAGCATTGCAACTCCAGCAGTTATACAAATCTGAATGTCACGACTGGCAGCTCCACCCTAAGCCCTTAGGCCAATTGCGCATGCCATGGAGGAGTCTCGGGGATGCCTGAAGTGAAGCTTCGACCTAACTCTCAATGCTGCTTTCGAAGGTTGTTGGGGCTGAGGTTGGCTATTGACCTGCCTTACGTTGCAAAGCAGATCTGCTCCTGAACTTACAGCTGTCTTGCAAGGTCAAACCCTGAACTCTTCATACCCGAGCTCCACAACCTGAACTGAAATCACGCTTGGCAGGCCTTTGGAACTCGATTTAGTTGAGGCCTCCCAGCTTCCACACCTTAATCTCCTTGAAGCCAACTGCAGACAGAGTCTCCATGTGTCGATGCAGGTGCGTTAGGTCCCAGTCTTTCATGGGGACTCCATCGATCAGAATCGTACCCGCCAGTGGGTCGTAGTACCGGAAGATTAACTGCCTGAACATGGTTTAGGACCTTTAGAGTTCGTTTTTCAGCTTAAGGCTTAAGTGCCCCGGGCCAGGCAAGAAGCATGCAAAACAAACAACAAGCTGTAAAGGGCAAAACAAACAACAAGCTGTAAAGGACTGTCCTCAACCCCCTCACCCCATTTTGCATGCTGTTGTTCCTAGGACGTGCAAACACACCCTCGCCAGAAGGCGCCAGAGGGGCAATCAAAAGCAAAAGTCACAGGGATCGCGGTCTCTGTGACAGGGATCGTGGCTTCAGGGTCCCAAAAAATTCAAATGTGGTGCTTGCTTGGTACAAAAGGTAAAAACAGCACCCAAATTGCGGACAGGTTGGGGGGCGGCTCGCCCTACTGCTAGGATTTGCGCGACACTGTGTAGTGACGGGCGAAGGGGTGTAGATCGGGAAGGTGCAGCCCTGCCCTTTTGCAAAAGATGGACGAAGATGAGAACCAGAAGTTTCTGCTGAATTCAAGAAGTTGCAGGCGCTGTGCCTGCCTAATGAAATAGCTGCGCTGGAGGTTGTAGTCCCCGTCAATTGGAACCTTCCTTGCCTCCTTTCCTCTGCCTGCTTCCTTCCTGTTTCTATAGCAAGAAAGAAAGGATCCTTCCAAAGCCTGCAATAAAGCCATTTAGGACAAGTCTTCCTGAATAAGCCACAATTCAGGCGAGATCCTGAGCTCTGAACCCTAGATCTCTACATTGTATCAGCCCAACCGTCCTCCTTGTTAACCTCAAACCCCTACTTCCTAAACCCTGAAAACCCAAACCCCAAGTTTGAAGCCCTACATTCGAAACACCTCAATTAGAATTCCAAAGCCCTAAAGCCGAACACCCGAAGTCCCTAAATTCATGCTACCAGCCAAGGCTCACTGAGGTACTCTTCCCGGATCCAGAGGCTCCAACCAGGGCAGTAGTCTTTCCAGGCCTTGTCTGCCAAAGGTTTGGCTTTAGGGTTTAGAGGTTACTTGCAGGTCTTGACTCAGGGGCTTGCTTGAGAGCTTGCAGGGTCACTTTTTGGGCTTCGGGCGCAGGAACTTAAGATCCTATAGGGTTTTTTGGGGTCTTCAGGTTTATTTGGCGTTCTGTGCGTAGGGCGTCTGGGCATGTAGTTCATGTTCACAATGCGAGCTTCCCCACCTTATAGCAGGTATATGCGGGATATGCAACCATTCTGACTTGTCAGGTCAGCACACGCTAAACCCTAAACTAAATCCTCAATCCTAAACCCTAAGCCCTAAATCCTAAAGCCTAAATCCTAAACCTTAAATCCCATTAGTTGAGGAACAAGGGCCTAGGGTTCAGGACTTAGGGCTCCGGGCTTGAGGCTTAAAAGCTTTGCAGGCGGCCTAGAGGCTGAGCAGTTGCGGTTGAAGGCTTATGTTATAGCCCCCCTTAAGTAGATAGGGGCTATATTGGGGTTATATTGGGATAATGGAAAAGAAAATGGAAACTACTATTGAGGGTTTAGAGTTTGGGGTATAGTCCCCGTTAAGTAGATAGAATATAGGGTATCTAGGGTATATGCGGTATATGGGGATCTTATTATAACATACCCAAAGCCCTATTCTATCTACTTAACGGGGGACTATAAGTGCTAGGGGCTCATGAAGCCTGGCTTTGCTTTAAGCTGCTGACCTAGGAGTCTATAGGGCAAGTGGCTACCGTTTAGGGTCTAGGAGCAGCGGAGCAAAAGTATGAATGAGAATCCTTCAGACCACCCAACGCCAACACACACCCACACATATCAAAAAAATCATAAATGGTAGTTTCCATTTTCTGTTCCATTATTCCCATATAACTTCTATATACTTTAGTACTCTCGGGGACCCCTATGTCCGCCTTTACCTGTCCCCGGATAACCCTGATATCTTGAAAGTAGATCGCATGTGCTTTTTGGGTCCCACTCGCTGATGAGGCGCTGAAGCTCCATGGAAAGCTCGTGGAGAACCTTCCTCGCTTTGGTTGGTTTACGGATTCTTGATAGCTTTCCAAAAATGGCGGGACCTCGAAATAGCGCCCAACATATTATACTCCTGACCATACTTGGAGGGTCGGGAGGGCTTAGTCCGAGGTTTTATTGGGGTTATAGGAGTTAAAAGTATACGTACTAAGTCCCCCTGACCCTCCAAGTAGGGACCCCTAAAAGGTACTCCTAATTTTTGGGAACCTTTCTTTGACCCTGCGAGCTTTACCGTCGGCCTTGGGATGAGGGCTCGGGTGTGGAGTCCAGTACGTATTTGTTCTGGGGGTCAGGCAGTCGGAAGAAGTAGGCTACAATCCAGCTTTGATCTATGCTGGCTCACAGATCTTAACTGTCCGCGCGAGACATAGTGGCTGGGTGGAAGGCTCTGACACGAGCGCCATGAATAATACCTGCCCTTCAAATGGTTCAGCCTGATCTTGACTCTTAGGAGTAAGGTCTGCCCGGCTAAGCGAACAAAACCGCTCTGCTGCAGTATCCGCACACACTCTGCGTCAGTCATGTCCCCAAAGCCCACCAACCCACACCACCAGAAAGCGTCCTACATCCCTTGACCCTTGGTAGAAATCATGCTTGCGGCTGTGCATCAGGAATCAAGAAGACAAACATCAAAACTCTGCCACGTGTTGGGTGTCATGACATGTATGCCAAGATTCTGTTCTGGCCTAGTGGGATACGCGAAAGACACGTCCTGGCAGGGTGGCTGCGCGGCTGAGCGCTCTCGTTGTTCTGGCTCTACGTAGGGGTTTCCCTACATCAGGGGTTCCTTCTTCGCAGCAATCGGAAGATATTGGGATGTCATGGGGAGCACTACTTTGAGAAATATTCTCGTCTACGCCTGTGCCCTTCAGGTCACGGAAGTCCAAAGCATGTTTTCGGGGCACTTGTCATGACTAGTTGCCCCAAGGGCAAGACTGAAAATCCTGAACCCTGGGCCCTTACCCCTACCTGGACCCTGGAAGTCCCACCCTGTTTGGGTTATACCCTGCAGAAATGTAGGACAAATCAGAAAGGACATCCACCGTCAGGTGAATGCAACACCGAAAATCCCTGAACAAACTTGAAGATCGTCTGGGCACCCTGATGGAATAGGTCTGAGTACCTGAGTATGGTTAAAGGAAACACACAGCAGGACTCTGTTCTTGGAGGTTTTCTGCTGATGGCGTGAGGGTCCTGGCACTAAGAAACAAGCCGGCTTTTCGAGCTGCTCAGAATTCGCCGAAAGGCTGCGAGATGTAGTATGCAGTAGCTATCAAGCGTTTCATGCCGCGGCCAACCACAATGTCGGCCCCAGAGCCAATCAAAGTCTTCCAATGGCATCCCCTTGCAAACCCCCATGTGCAATTAGCAAGAGAGGTATTGAAACCATCCCAAGTCTCGTAAGCCGCAAGAAAACCTGCAAAAGTACCCAGCTACTCAGAGCTTGCATGGTGTCCTGGAAAATCACCTCCCCGCTAACAGGCCCGTCATACGTGCCTCGGTCACGAGTTTTGCTCAGGGAGTCTAGGAGTCTAGGATCAAGTGGTACAGCGCTGAGGACTTAGTCTCTGGCGAGCTTGAGTGGGTCACAAGTCTAGCCTAGATGGCCTAGATAGAAAACTCAAACATAGTGGCCCACCAAATGTAGCTCCCAAAACTATGGTGCTTCGTGTAGGGACTCCCGACATGGATCCCTATCAGAACAGCCAGATGAGAAACCGTCACCGCAATCCGCGTATCCAATACGAGCCAAGGGCCTTTGTCCCCCCATGCCACTAACAGCAAAGCTCCCAACCACCCCCCCCCTGAACAAGAAATATGCCCCCAGCTTAAATATGGTAACCTCCTAAACAACGCTTCCGAATACGTGTAACCTCAATGTTTCGCCTATCAAATTAGAAATACACAAGTATGAGGCTGAAAACTCGGTCCCATGATTAAGGGTTATTCAACATACAGGTTGAGCATTGAAGATGTGGGAAATGCTTTTTCGAATTTAGATTTCCAAATTGAAATTTGAAGTTGTGTCTTTAATCTTCCACTTGCGTGATTGAAGACTGAGAATTCGTGGGAAAATCCATCAATATGTTCAATCTCCATTTGACAGATCTTAGAAGTGTTGCTTCGCTTTCAAATCGCACGCTCCAAGTTCAAAGTTGAACATTCTCAGACAAGGCTTCCCAAAACTTTCATTTTCCCACCTGCCTTGAAAAGGGTTTCGAAGTTGCCAATACTAGCACTCCGAATGGGAAACATGCTTAAGTACAGGACCAAATGAAATCTTAGATGGGATTCATCATCTGACAGTTCCCTGTTGCGATCCAAACTTCACACATAGCCTAAGCGTATGGCCAGCAAATAACGATACGACCCTTCTGCTAAATTCGCCACCGCAACCTTTTTGAGAATAAACCATGGGCTACATAACATAGGAGGAGATTTGATTTGAGGGCCGACTTATCTGGCTTGGGAATTCTATGTTAGGAGGACCCGCCACCCTGTAATAGTGGTATAATAGGAATATAAGAGGACCCTAATATGATCCCTATTATCCCTCATAGTCACCATTACTGGGTGGGGGGTCCACCTAAATTCTATGGGTGTTGCACTTGAACTGAGTTCTACGCTTCCCCTGGAGAATTTCATCAATACTGCCTAGCGGTTAGCGCAGAGTGTGGGGAATGGAGTTTTATGGTCGCCCCCATAAAATTGATGGTCACTCTCCCCAGAACCCATTCCCCCGTTCCCTACTAAGCAGCCATGCTGGTTGGCAAGAAAAGCCCCAGACCCTAAACTCAATAAGGGCGCCTGGGAAGATTTTGGGCTGTTGGTCCAAGAACTCGAAATGCTCTGCCAAGTTGTCACTGCGGTTGAAGACATCCTGCCGAAAGGGCTGACCGTGACAGCCTTCAGGTATACTATCGTATAATGTAGTATACTATAGTATAATACAGTAGATTATGGTATATCTTCAGAACATAATGGGTCATATATAGGGATAATATAGGAGTAATATGGGTGTAAAATACGGGTAATAGAGGAATCATGGAAAGGTTTGGTTTTAGGATGTTGCATGATGTTGCGGATTAGGATTTTGGACGAAAGCGTCGTGCTTGGGGCATTGCTTTTTGCATCGAGCTTCAGGGCTTCTGCATTACCGCGTAGGTTTACCCGAATATCTTGCCGGTGCTTAACCAATTAAACGTGTGGGGGGAGCATCAGGCCCACCGGTAGATTTCGAGGTTGAGCAAGTGGCATAAGTGGCTCGGGATACATGTAATCGCGCAATATTCAGCAGATGTAGGGTCGATTCTGCCTTGCCGGCCTGTTCCAGCATGGGCCCTCAGTTCCTAAACCCTAAAGCCTAAGCCCTAAAGCCCTTATCACGATCCCACGGTTGCAAAGTGAAGCCAGCCTCACATCCTGAATAAAATGACTCACTAGTTCTTAGTGGGGAATAAGGGATCACATTATATGTTGCCTACTATTAACCAGTAAGAAGAACCCCTCACAAATCTGGCTGCTGGTGCACTCAAAGAGAGGATGGTTCGTCGCCGAATCCCGTTCGGGGGTTCCTGGGGCTTCATCCGTCTTACTACACAGCGAGCCACCAGAAAGAAGGGGCATCGATCAAAATTGGGTACTCATAGCAAACATGGGTGGGGACATGTAAGAAATCGACGGGATTCGGGACAGGAGTGAGGATTCGACAGGGCCCCTGCAGGAGACCACGGCGCACATCATGAGGCGAACGACAGTGCCCTGGAGCATAAACATTCTCACCGTCGATCCCAATCCCCTCTCCCCATCCTCCTCCCCCTACGGCCCCTCTCCCTTTACCTCTCTCTCTCTGTGTTAGTGTCTTTGTCTGCCTCTCCCTCCCTCCCTAAACCCTAAAAGCCTAGACTTACACTGCATGGCTCCAACCTCCACTTGGGCTTTGAAGTTGTGCACCTCTGCAGCAAGGAATTACAGGAGCCGACTTCAGCATCAGGGCTCACCCGGAGGGACTCCTGTTCAAAGGAGGATGGGTTAAGAGGTCCGAAGAAAGACATGGGCCCATAAGAAGATGCTGTCTTCTATGCGCTTGCGGGCCTTTTCTGCCCTCGTCCAAACTGCAAGCCAGAAACCCTCTACCTGGACGTGCATTAACAAAACTTAATTCCGAGGTCAGACTACAAATAGGGCAGCCCATCCATTAAGTAAGGACTGGCTGGCTATGCATTTTTTGATAGGGGTTTGTTTGGTACAAGCACATGCCTACATCCTGAACCGGGAACACACCCGCAGTTCCGACCCAAGCCAAGCATTCCTCAAAGCCCCGAAACGGTAGGATGTCAGCTACGCTCTTTCCATACATAGCGCTTAAGAGGGGTGTCCAGCTGTTCCAATGCAGACTCCCTAGAATTCATTGAATGCAGCTGTGGGCACCTGATGGCTGAGCTTGCTCACGAGAAGCCTCAGCTTCGCTGCTAATGGGTTTTCGGCGCAGGGTCAAGTTTGAGGGAGCCTGGCCTAGCTATGATGTGGGCTGTACAGGGTTTAGGGCAGGGTGCGGCCAAACGGGGGCACATCTCTTCCGACGCGCACCTGGAAGAGGATGGGAAGAGGGGTGAATGTCTGGATTAAAGGTTTTCTGACGTCAAGCTGAATATTGCGGACTTTCGAGTGTCTCCCCCCTGCTCCCAACATGCAAAAGTCGTCCGCATGTTCAGCGCAGCAGCTTTCAATTTTGTTGGATTGGGGCATAGGCGGCATAGGTCATCTTGGACCAGAATAAACTATCCCGCCCTTCTCATCAAACGCCCCCACATTGATAATCTCATTTTGTATGGTAAGTACCACTACATATTCGGCAGATGTCCATTGTTGTGGGGTACATGGCCTTCCTATCAGGAGAGATGTGAAGGGTTGGGGTGACTTCCGCCTCAAGTCAATCTGAATGATGCCCCACATGCAAACAGGGGTGGAGTTGGAGTGTCAGGTGAAGGCAACCCCCCTTGTAGCCATATTATATGTGGTTACATCCATTCACATATGATGAAAGCCACTGTAAAATAATTAATATATCACGACATATATATATATACATGTATGTATATATGAGTGTATCAAGTCTGTACCTATACATCTAGACGAATGATGTCGCCAGGCCGGTCGTCAGAATCCCTAGATCTCAATCCTCAAGCCCCGAGCCTCAAAACCCAAACTCCCAACCCCAAAACCCCAACAGAACACCCCAAAACCCTGAATCCCAAGCCTAAATACCAAGCCCCCCCCGAAGCCCTAAACCCGAAACCCTAAGCCCCCAAAAAAGAGCGAAGTGAAGCCGAGTCACAGAAAGGACGTCATCTCGGCGGCTGAAGAGTCCACATTGACCCAGACTAAGCCGACCCAGAGGGATATGCCTTAGGGTTTAGGGTTTAAGGCTCAGGTTTTAGGGTTTAGGGCTTAAGGTTTAGGGTTAAAGGTTAAAGAATTAGGGTTTAGAGTAAAAGATTGCGGGCTTAGGGTCCAAGGTTTAGGTTCTTTGTTGGGTTAGGACTAAACAACTATAACTTTAGATCCTTTGCGAAAAAATGTATGGGCATACATAAAGCGGTTTAAGCCTCCAAAGAATAGAGGTTCCTCTTTGGGAGCGCCTATACTAAGGATCGTCATATTTGGGGTCAGAGGAGGCACTGCGCTTGTGTAAGTGGCTCTAGGGTTTCAAGGCTTGGGATTCTTCAGGGACTTGTGCCTATATAGGCTTGAGGATTCAGAGCTTTGGTTTTTTCAGGGCTTTCGAGTTCAGGGCTTACTGCTTCAGGGATTTAGCTTTGGACCTTAAGCGTAAGGCTAGGCTTTTCTTCCCTCCCGCCCAGCTCGTAGCAGCTTGCACGGAAAAAGGGATCCCACCCAAAATGAGGGCGTGTGGCGATGCGGAGAATTAGGAGCTCAGGCTTCGTAACCATATAGTCCCCCTGATGTAGATGGAATGCGGGGTATATGGGGAAAAGCCATATTCTACCTACTTAAGGGGGGACTTTGAGCCCTAGACATGCTTAAAGGTTTGAGGGCTTTCAAGGATTCGGGCCCAGGGCGTGGGGGTTATGCTCGGAGCTACAAAGACACCAAATTTTCGCCCCATCGTTAACCCTGAGCCCTAAACCCTTGTTAGGGTTTTCAGGAAGTGGGGCCGCTGGTAGAGATTAGAACCTGATCTCCTTACTGGGATTCTAGCAAAATGGGTCTTCAGCATATTTGATTTTAGGGTTTCCCTTATTTACAGCTTAAGGGCTTGAGGGCATTCAGGAAGTTGGAGCCGAGGGTATTCAGCGGTCTTCTGTTTAGGGCATAAGTAATTAATTCCTATTTCAGATCATCTGGGTTTCTGACAGCAAAAACAGGTTTGGGGTGTAGGGTTTTGATGCTGTGTTGACTAACTCGTAGGTTTCGTCAGTCGGATTTGAGCTGCGTTCAATGGGAACGACGAAGAGCAACAGGTTTTCATCAGGGGATACCTCTGGTTCATTTTCAGCAGAACTCCGACAAGAGTGTTATGCTCACCGTTTTGGGACTTCGAAGGTTCTATGCCATCGTGGAGAGTTGCAGGGATTGCATGGAAACATTTTCAGCGAAGGATGGTGTTCGACTTCAAGATTTTTAGGGCCGACGCTTTAAGCTAGTTTGGGACCATCGTTCTGGCTTCAGTTAATTGACTTTGGTCTTCGAACTGAAGTGAAAGGTTGGTCCCCAGGAGGTTTTAGGACCCTATAAGCCCGAAGGTCTTGGATGAGATAGGTTGATCCTATTATAAGTGGTCTTCCAAGGTGTCAGAATACCTACCCAAATAGGATGAGACAAAGGTTGTGCAAAAGGGATGCCGCGAAGTGGGTTTCAGTACCAGGTTGAAGAGAGAGAGCGAGAGAGAGAGAGAGTGTGTGTGTGTGTGTCTTCAAGGTTTGGGTTTCCCACAGGGCCTTATATAGCCCTCAGGCCTTGCATTAGATTATGCATCCCAATGTCATGTATGTAGGATATATTCCTCAAGTGAAGCGTATCGGGCTCTCTGAATATGGAAGCTTGTTGCAAATCCAACCCCCCCCAGTTTCGTCTGCCGCGACCTGGGAACAGAGCAGGTTTAGCCTAAAATGCGGCCCCCTGCAAAGGTTCCCCCACCCAAACAACTCCCCTCAAGATAAGATTCCTCACTGTTGTAGCTTATTTTGGCAACTGAGGGCCTCAATCACTGGAGAGCCCTGTGGGGCGGGGGTGATTGACGGGGCACCCTCTCAACCCTAAACTCTGATTCAAAGCCCTGGATCCTAAAACCCAACCCCAGACCCGACACTCGTAAGCCCAATACCTCAGACCGCAAACTCAAACCCAAAGCCTACCCACATAATGTTGGCTCTCCTTTAATCCGGAGGCGCCCGTTGTATCATGTGTTTTGACCGCCCCTTACAGAAGATCAGGCCCATGATGGAGGGCCCTCTTTAGTGTGGTTTGAGTTTGGGGATCCCAGCAGAACCCTTCCCTGGAGGTCAACCCCCTCCCCTTACAACCATGAAATCAAGAGGAGCTGCGCTAGAGATTAAGGAGGGTCCCACGTGTCCTACACTACCCTAGACCCCGGACTGGCCACGGGGCAGTAGATGGCCTGCTGCAAGGTGTCCGCAGCCACCTGAGCTGCCCCCTGCGTGACAGTAAGCCTGGGCTATGAACTTGGAGGTTTTGGGTTTTGGGGCTTTGGGGCTTACCCAGAGCGAACCCAATGCACCTTGAACTAAGGAATATTGACTAGATGATCGCCGCATCTCTAAAAAGACTTCAAGTGTACTTCTTCATTACGGGGTATTGCAGTCCCTGTGCTTAGGGATAACCGTCAAAGAGTCACGATGCAGAATCTCCTCTTCCGATCTAGATAATCTCCAGCCAAGATCATGAATTAATTGCTCCCCAGGGCAAAGAGGAGAGAAGAGAGAGAGAGAGAGCAACCCTAAACCCTACACCCAAATTCTAAACCCCAAACCATAAGCCCCTGAAGGATTTTGATGGTCCCGGGATGGCATTGTAATTCTGGAAGTTGGGGTTCGGAAATGTGGTAGCGAGCAACCACAAGCTTACTGGGGGTTAGTAGGGAATAGGGGAATTTGTAACATAAAGGTTTGGGGTTAGGGTTCAGGGTTAGTAGGGAAGAAGGGAATCTATTAGATAGGGATTCTATGAGGAGTAGGTTCCCTTCTTCCCTACTTGCCGCCAGAAAGTGTGTGGTTCTGCAGGTCGTTCAGAGAACAGGCAACAATTCTACAGTAGTGTAAGAGTTGAAGGCTCCAGCGACTCCAAAAGTTATCCTAAGCCTTTGTGCACCAAACCAATCCTCATTATGGTGCCCCTAAACCCTAAAGCCCGTAATTTTGGGAAACCCTCTGGGCCCTTCAGTTCTGAAGCTTTCGGGGTGCCTGTGGTTTGCGAAGTTTGGCAGGAAGGTTGAAGTTAGGGGTTTAGGGTTAGGGCTTAGGGCATTGGGTTTAGGGTTTAGGGCTTAGGGTTCAATGACAGCTGGGGCTAGGGTGTAGGGACTTGAGATTTGGGGGTTAAAGGGTTGTTTTTTCTCTGAGAATGGGTCAAGCAAAAGAGGCATGTGGACAAACCTCAAAGAGTCAACTCTCATAGCCTACCTGGAAGCTTGAAGCCCGTAATTCTAGGCTTTTCCTCTTGCAAGTCCACACCAAAGCTGGGCTTTCTACCCTGCAGTATAAAATACCGACAAAACAAACCCCGGCACTACTTGCTCAGCTGCACACTCCAAAACTAAGAGCGTTGGACAAATCGGAGGCGCCCAACTGTTGACAGTCTACATTTGAAATCCTAAGACTCTCTGACGCCTTCAACTTATTGCTCTATTCCCTCCTTCGTGGCTAGCTAGCTTGCTGCGGACTACAGTTTAGATTTGACTCACCGACCAGAAGCTTCATGCTGGATGCTTCTTCCAGCGACAGCCTTTGGAGTGACGTATGCCTTGGAACAAATCATCGCACTGGCAGTCAGCAGGGAATGGAGGAATTGATCCCATAGTGCCGCGTATAATATAATTTCAAACTGATAAGCCCTGTGGCCCCTGTCTGTGAGAGTTCCTGATTAAAGTAAGGATTACAGCATGTTGGGTGTATATTGGGGTTTCGTGTTTCTGAAAAACCCTGCATGGATTTATCGGGCTCAATGCTGGACGGTGGTGTGTCTATGTCGGGCCTTGAACAATCGCTCGCACCAAACATTTCGAGACCAACTCTCACCCAAGTGGAGCCGTGCGCTCTGATTAAGCACCATTGTGGATGGAGCTGATCTTGAGCCACTGATATAACGTATATACTAGCTCCAGAGCGGGGGGAAAATCCCGAGAGGTTGCAGATTTCCTCGATCCACCGAAGCTCCAAGACTGGCTTCTGGTCGCTGGTCTTGCCTCTGCCTTCAACACTGGCTGGTGTGGCCAAAGACCGTCGCTGCAGTGGCAGGCAGCACTACAGAATGTTGGGGGAAATGAGGTTGTCAAGGAATCTGGAATATACACTTACCCAAGCACAGTCTCCTCTTCACAGAAGCCAAACAAAAGGATCGTGTTCCCGAAAGAGCGCAAGCTTTTGAAAGCTGATGTGAGACTTCCAGCCACGCTCTTGTGATGAGGGGGTCGCAGCCTGTGGAATGTCTCTCCTCTTATTCCTTTTTATCGATGTTGCAAAGGATTGGGAGTCTTCGCACTTTGAACCTCTCAGCATCCAGAGGGGGATAACCCTAAAACGCTAAACAGCCCAAGCCATGAGTCCCAAACCCTACAGCTGAAACGCCAAACTCTAAACCCCGAATCCTCGGCCCTAAGCCACGCCCAATCCGTGTAGTCAGGTTAAGCCCCATTCCTTTCAGAAGCTTGCCGAGCGGAGCATTTTCTCAACTCTAAACCCAAAGCCCTGAACTGAATTAAAACAAGCCTGCCCTCCTACATGCCGTGGCTCCGCAACTTTCTCAGATCTGACAAAAGCAGCGTCACAAAGAGAAGCCAAGGCGCCAGTCCTACATCAGGGTTTAGGGCTTAGGGGTTCAGACTGTGGCTCCTCTCTGAGATCCCCCAACTAGCAGGCTTTCATCTGGGTTCGCCTAAGTATGGTTTCTTTTTTCTGCGCAGCGTAGCTGGAATGACAGTACTCTGGTTTGCAGTGGAAGCCCAATCTTTTTTCTAACTGGATGTTGTAAATGTGCGGATGATGGCTTGGGTTTGGGGGACAGAGCGGTTATCTGGCAAGAATCACAACGAAGGCTGATCCTAACCCTGGACTCTTCATGTCTCAGCTATAGGTTCAGTGCAGAATGCGAGAAGGCGTACTGATCAAAATCCAACGAAGTTCTTGCTGAAGTGTGTTCTAGCTAAATAATCAACCGTTGCCCTTGTTTAAGTCCCTCGGGCCCAAAACCTAATTCTGGACTCTATCATGCCCCTCAGATACACTAGGAAGATAGACTTGCTCTTTCGGTTGCTTTTATGAGAGTAGACTGAACAATTGGGCGCTGACTTTCCTTGAGTCTCATCAATATCTTTGTCCAAGAATGCCGCTGAGAACCACGAGGTGTGACCGCCGACTGCATCCCAAAAAGCAGCCAAAACCTATTGGCACCCTAAAGGCCGCAAAACACTAGGACTACCCCTAAAAATGACTTTCAACCTTGGTATGTGCTCATCAACAAATGCTTCGCCTGATCTTGATGTGGGAATGGAGACCGGTATCTTCGTTAAGGCCTTTTGCTGTTCAATGGGAAAAGGGTGGATGGACTATGGGTCTATCATGCCGTACCCTCAAACGAAAGGAGGTAGACAGAGAGAGCCTTTGGGCTGTAAGAGGTTCATGAAGACATAAGCGTTGCCCCGTCATGTTAGACACCCCGCCCCCTTATCTTCATCATGTCGCGTGATATCTTTTCTACCAAGGGAATATCTGAGAGTAGGTGATCATAAATCTCTGGGGGCAGGCATTAACAAAAAGAAGAACTTCCATTCCTAACCCCTGCAGTGATCGTAAGCAGAAAGCTCCTCACCCCCCCAGCCCTTCATGAGCCGGGCACCACAAAAAAATCAAACATCAACGTTGCCTCCTAAAACCCAACACCGCTGACCGAAAGCTACATCTACCCGCCTCTCGGGAAAAGGTCTTCACCTATGCAGGGTCGGATGTTGGAGCAGGCACCCTCGCAATGGCTTGTCTACCGCCTGCACCTCTTCAGGGGCCTTCAGGCTTCAGTACAGTCAGCCGAGCTATAAAAGCGAAACCATCAAATTCACCAGATGCTCTTAGCAAGCCCCTCGCCCTCCGCAAATTACACTCCCCCTGAGCATTCCACATCGCAGCCCAAACTTGTGGTGGAGACATATTTGAGTTGCGGCTCGAGGCATATTTGATTTTAGGGAGAAGTGATCATGTAGCTCCTCTGTTGGTCTGACTACATGTTTGACTTGCTTTCTGGGTGAGGGAACAAGATTTGACTAGAATCATATTGCGCCACAGGCTGCCCAAAAAGGGAGCTGCATGCGGGCCTCTGCGTAATTGGCTTCCACAACGAATGAGAAATTCTTTGCCCAGTTCTCACATGGACGATATCAACCAAAGGGCGCTTGTGACCATGATCCCCTTTTGCAGGGTATACATACAGTATGGCCGGGATCACGGCACCTTTTCTTTTTTATGAGATGGTGGCCTCAAGCGACTTGTGCCCGTAGAAAAGGCATCTGAAACGAATGGAGCCGCTCCTCCTCGCCCTCCTCCTATGACCACTACTGCTATAGCTGACGAGGACAACAGTCAGTGCTGGTACGCGCGTACTGATCCTACTTATTCAACTTTTCTTGCCACTGCTGCTGCTGCTGCAGCTGCCAGCACTACTGACTGGCAGCTTTCGGCCTCTCATATGCCCGGTGTATATAAGTCTTTTCACATAAAAAAACATCACTTCTGATTCTGCCCATCTATTTCCCTTTTCAAGAATTTGGAGCAGTGGAACGCATAGAGTTATTGATTTGCTGTCAAACGATCTCCATACAAATGTTGATTTTGGGAGTTAGATGTGCCTCCAAACATTATGGGGTGGGCGCGACCTAAGAAAACTTAGGTTGCAGCGACTGAAGCCCTACGAGGTCATCACAGTTTTGAGTAGCTATGAACTATACAGCCCTAACAACATGACTCTCTGTACGGCAAGTTGAGGCCCTGGAAACTTTGGGGAACCCGCATGCCAGCTTTCATTGAATTCTGCATTCGCTTTTCCATGTGATTCTCCATTATTCCTACCAGCTTGCACTAAATGTCCGTTCGCTTCTGCAAGTGAGTCTCCACTATTCCCTATAACACTTATAGATCCCATATATAGTATACTCTCAAGAATCTTGAGGTTCTAGAGATTTGAGGCAATGACTAGCATCTCACGAATTACAAGAATCTTGCTGGCTCCAGCTGGCCGGTCATAACGCCTAAAGATGCCTCTATACTCTATAACCCTAACCCTAGACCCTAAATCCTTAGTCTATCATAAACCCTAAGCCCTGATCATCCTCGTCTACCCTCAGGGTCCCTAAGGGCAGCTCAGGGGCCACTTTGATCATCTCACACGCTTCCGCGACCACGCGATTGGCCACGTTCTCCTGGGTTACGCTAAAGAGCTTAATTTACAGTTTCCATAACTTCGGGCTTAGGGTTTAGGGCTACCATCATATAGGTATTTTGTAAATAATGGGGCTTTCTTATTTCAGTAATTTCTAGAAGAGTTGCTTAACAACAGCCCAGTCTCAAGGCCTCGCTCCCTTCGCTGGCTGCCCTGGGCCTGTTTTCCTTGCGGGTAGTATTCGTTGATAAGGGTTACATAAGGAATATAAGTGCTATATAGGGTTATCTAGGATTGTACGGGGTATATAAGGAGTATAACGGTGGTATAATGGGGTACCTAGGATTATATAGGGGAAATATTTATAGTAATGCCCTAAGAACGGGCAGAGACAAGTTCAAAATCATATGGAAACTACTATGTCGGGTTCAGGGTTCAGGATTTAGGGGCAAGCCTGATACTGGGTTTAGGGTGTAGAGTTGGTTGACAAGTTTTCCTTTGGGGTTTAGGTTTTAGGGTTCAGATCAGGACATGATGATCCACTCCCCCCAAAATCGAATCCTCCCCCTCACACCCCCACATCCCTTACATCAACTATTCCTGTTGTGGTAACTGTCATAACTTGGGAATACCCAATATCCTGGGAGTGGGAGGTTTCAATATGAAGGGGCGGCGGATGCGTCCGCAATATGAGCAACAGAACAATGGATACAATACGGCAACTGCTGTTTCATGTTTGAGTGTAGGGCCCCATGTAGGGAAGTTGCCAACATCATAGTCTCTTGTCTCTTTCCTGTGCTTGTGAGGGACTAATTAGCGGGCAGTCGCTCATGCGCGTAGCTGACTTTCTGCGGGCGTGTCTTGCTTGTTTTGAACACTCAACCGCATGTTGTCAATCCCCTCTCCAATCCCACGGGGTGGGGGTGATTATTACTAGCGTGAGGGGTCTACGTTGGGTCCTCCAGATCTGGAACCTGAAGGGGTTGGTGGCTCATAATTAGGATCCGACTTTTGTCATCTGCACACGGCTGGGTTGTGCAGAAATTCGTCCTGAAAGGCATTATTCACAGATCAGATGATCCGCGCGTATGTAAGAAGAATTATGCTTATTCTACCGCCTACTTCTATCTACGCACTGGCCTATGGACCTTCCAACAATTGTTTTGCGGACTTTTACGCCCACCTTCCCTACAAAGTTCTGGGATGCCTTGCCAGAGGGCAACTGTGGCGCACGAGGTTAGCATTCCGCCAGCAAGGGGCATGTAGCCCAAGCTATCGACATCGGAACACGAAGGGATTGGAGATTGAGGTGCTAATTTTGGATTTTTGCTGTGCCGGGCGGTCTCTCCAAAAGTGGGCGTCCCGTCATACACAGGAAG